TCTGAATAATATATATATATATATATATATATATATATATATAAATTCCTATTAAATAAGTATTGATATGGAATGTGTTAGGTAATAAAATATTCATATTTATATTTGTCTTTATCATTTCAAGTGTTTTTGCCTACCTAATTAATAACTTAGTTTAATTGAAATTTATAAATTCATATTTTTAAATAAAAATTTAGATTAGAGTTTTGTGAATGAAAAAAAAAAGTTGGGATGAGTTTTGATATGTAAGTGTGAATAAGATTCCTATATTGAATAGAGTTAGGTTTGTGTTGAGTAACATATAAATGAGAAAGATCTATTAACATCTCTCAAGGTTTTGGATATGATTTAGTGTTAGTTTACTCTATGGTTCGCTCACTGTGATACCCTCTACCCCAACATACATATACAATCATTTGAAAAAAATTCTTTAATTAAAATCTTTCATAAATAAAACCAAATTATCAAATATCTTACGTAGAGGATTCACATTCATAAACTCATAAACAATATCTTCAACACGGAAATTACAAAGAAATAAGACTGAGTTTTCAAATAGTTTAATGGAAATAGCATCCTAAACTAAGCCTAGCTATGCCCCAATGTCACATATCCTATCAGAGCATGCCCAACTGAAACCTAAGCCTCATCACCAACATCCTCATGCTGATGATCACCTGCAACACAATTTAAACACAGAAAAATAACAACATGGGAGTGAGAAACATCTCACTTAGGTTCAGTTGCAGAAATAAAGGTTAGATAGCACACACACACAACAAACATATTACAAGTCATAAACACCAATCACATATAAACAATACACATACATAATCAATGTCACATGTACACTCATTTATCATGCAATGATATCATGGACTCGACTCATAAATACATGTGGCACTAGTCACGTGTCTCATCATATATCTCATCATTTCATCATTGGTGACCCAAGGTACACCTTGTTAACCTATTCTGGTGACCCTAAGGTAAACCTTGTTAGCTTGTTACATCACCAGTGACAGCACTGGAAGATCGCCTAGAAACAGAACCCCCTTGCTGTGTTTGGGGCATGTCATATGGTTTCCTCTGACTCTCACCCTTCTTGGACCCAGATGGTCCCCCAATGGTCGTCACCGCACGGTTGCCACCTTCCAACTGCTCAACTACCTTCGCCTTCTCCACTAAGGCTGGGAACTCCGTGATGGCCATAGGCACCACCATCCTCTTCAGCTCATATTTCAATCCATCTGCAAATTTCCTGCATTTCCAAGCCTCAGGCATACCCTGCGAATAAAAACGGGCTAGGTGCTCGAATTTTATCGCATACTCTGATACTGTCATCCCACCCTGATGCAATCGCATAAACTCTGCCTCCTTGGCATGCCTCACGCTTTCCGGGAAGAACTTCTCCATAAACACTGTCCGGAAGCACTCCCAATCAACTGTAACTCCCCTAGCAACAAGCATCTGATAGGTGCCTCTCCACCAATGTTCAGCCTCCCCAACAAGCATGTATACAGCGTATGCTAACCTCCTCTCTGGAGGACATCCTAGTACTGTAAAGATCTTCTCTAATTCACGGATCCAGCGGTCAGCCACTTCTGGATCCGCATCTCCTGCAAACTGTGGAGGATTACACTTCTGGAACTCAGCAAGATCCCGGCTCTCTTGTGACCCTGCAGGTCTTGCTGCACCAGCTGTAGCTCTCTCAGCCTCCATCCTAGCAAAATAGGCATTTTGCTGTTGCATAGCCATGGCCAACATCTCTAGGGCACGGGCTATCTGCTCATTTGTCCTAGTCATCTTCTACAAAGGTAACAACTCCTTTAGTAAACAGTAACTAAACCACCCAAAATCAATAGCACAACCAATCACCACAACAATTTCAGCACAACAATTTTCAGCACAGCAGACATCACAGAAAAACAACACAGCACAGAACTAACACAACAAAAAGCCTAAAGGGACCCCCCCCAAAGACTGTCCACTAGACTCGAACTGCTCTGATACCACTAAAGTGTAACGACCCGACATAGCACACTAGAAACACCAGAATTTTAGTTTGTTTAATTTTGGAAATTCTAGTATGAATATATCTCAGTATTTAGGTAATTTTTCTCTATGTGATTAACCAAACAGAGTTTTATTTGTTGGGTTAGAAACTAGACATTTGGAGTTATAGTTTAGACTCAAGAATTGCATAAAAAATGTAAAAAAAAATAATAATGAGTGAGTTATGTCAGTCACAAGATGAGCCTCATGTTTTATGCACAAAAAGTTATGTTTGCAACTTGTAAGCCTTTCAAGGACCCTTAGATGATTGAATTAGGTTTTGTGGTATTCATAACAATTGTAGCTTTAGATGTTAGGTTTCCAATGACATTAAAATCACCCAAAAAGGGGTCTAAAACTCAAGTTATGATCAAATTAGTGAGCAAAAGTCAAACTGTCAAGTTTAAACTTAAATAGTGTAGTTTTGTAATTTTTAAAAATAGTAAATGGTACAAATTATTTAAGTCAACATGAGAGTTGTAGATAATTATCTTATATTTCTAATAAAATTAATATCAATTTGATATCATAGATATAACTTTAAATATCGCTTTTATATCACACAATGTCACTAAAACTCAAGATAAGAAGAGATAATTTACGCTATTCTTTAAGTGCTTGTGAATTCTATTAAGACCCTTGTTTATAAAGCAATATGATTTTTGTACATTTCTTATGAGCATGACATGTTATGAGTGAGTTATATGTATGATTGATTATGTATTGATTGTTGTGATTACGAATCTATGAGTGTCTATGAATTATGTGAAAAATCTTGCTTATAAAGCAATATGAATTTTGTACATTTCATATGGGCATGAGATGCTATGAGTGAGTTGTATGTAGGATTGATTGTGTATTGAGATATTATTGAATTGATGTGAAGTTATTAGGATGTGATGATGTATGTTGTGATGAACGTGATGATGTATATTATGAGGCATAGACTATAATGACACATAATATATGTCGTTGAATCTCATTCAAAATCAACACTAAAATTGTGTATAACTATATATCAAATAGATTTATACCTAAATATATTGTATCTATAGTGACATTTTTTTTGTATGTCACTGTATGTAATATTTGTTATACAGACAAGAAGATATTAACATATATGATTCAAATGAAAGTCATTAGGTTGTCATCAATAATATCCATAAGTATTTGCAAAGTACTTAAGATTCATTCTTGGTGTATAAGGGTAAGGCTCATTGAAAGGGGGTTACATTGAAATTGATTTCCAAACTAATATACATGATTCTCGATCATAGACTAGATTTTTGTTTTGTTTAAAAGGTGACATCATGAGCTAGAAGAGTTCAATGTAAGTGAAAGTTTTCAATTCTACCATAGAATTTAAGTATACAATTGCATCATGTTGTGCACCGGGGTTACCACACATATACACATGTCTCCACATTGGTGAGATATTGTCCGCTTTGGACTCAAGCCCTCACGGTTTTTCTTTTGGACATCACCCAAAAGGTCTCTCAACCAATGGATACAATTATGTGTATATAAACCCATGAGCATCCTCTTGTTTGAAAATGTGGGACTTTGCTTGCATCCCAATAATCCTCCCCTCAAACAAAGGACCACGGTTTAACCCATCCCTTACAGCAAAAACTACAAGTATTATCGGATGGTGGCCCTGAAGGTTGAGAGCAAAAAGAGTTTTCCGCACGGGGTCTCACAGTCCCGACCTCGTCCTCATCCCTCTTTCTAGTTTAATATCCGTCTTCGATTTGATTGTGAAACATTTGTGATTGTTTAATTATTAAGAAATTTTTAAATTAAAATACGGGATAGATAAACAATCTAATTATCATTGTAATATAAAAGAAAAATAAGCTAAAAATATTGTGTACTTTTTTGAAAAAAATTAATTAATTTTTTACAGATACCCATATACTCAATATCCGATGAGAACGGAATGAAACAAAAATTACATACTCATCAAGTATCGAGGATGAGATGAGTTTGAACTGTAGGAACAAGGACGAGTATCATGAAACTCGTACTCGCCCCATTGTCATGTCTAATTGTAAGTTACAAAATCATTTAACATATTTTTATAGCAATATATAAAGTTCATCTTATTATTGGTTATCGGCTTATCGCATGTAGAATACTCTTTCGATATAAGAGCTGGTTGGCTTAACTGTGTAAATAGGTTGGACTACCCTTGTACATCCCTTTAATTTTACCTTTGCTTATCAAGAACAAAAATAAATACTAAATTATTATTTCATAATTTGTTTAATTTAATTTGTATATAATCACATGCTTTACATTGGTGTATGACTAATTAATATTTTATTTATTTTTACTCATAAGATGAAATATATGAGTTTGAACATACAACGAAATTTGTGTTTTTGTTTTATGATTAAAGCTTGAATAATTTTAAAGGTACATAACAGTACTACATACAAAATATCATTTAGGTTTAATATGTTTTTGTCCTTATAATATACTGCTTTTTTTTATTGTGATCTTCTGAAATTATTATTTTTTTAAAGTGATCCTTGTAGAATTTGTTTAGGGTAAAATATATATAAATGAAAATCATGAAGAGTATGGTTATGCAACAAAAAAGAAATTGCTCTGTTCTCTTATTTTCTTCTTCCCTGTCTATGATTTTTATATTTCATGGTTCTTCTGCTTCTTGGACCAGAGTCCAGAGAGATCTTATTGGGCTAGAATAAGGAATGGACATTTTTAAATTACAATTGCTTACAATTTCTGCAGAATGAAAATTTCGTTAAAAAAAATTATTAAGAGGTCTAACTCAGTGTGGGCAAGTTGTAAGTTGTTGTAAATCTTTTGGTATCATTGGATAAAAAAATTATTAAACAGTTTTGCTTTTAGCACAAACTAGTGGGTCCGTATCTAGTTAAATATACAACGGTTGAGAATTAAACTTAATTAATATTTCACCACTTATAGCAAACATAAATATAAACAGACAAATAAGATTGATGCAAAAAATTCAAATGGTAATGTATGACATAAACATAAGCTATGATTTATCTTGACACGTGTAAAAGTGTTGTAATAAAAACAGACATAACGTGTTACTAAGTCTCAAATTGATGACTTAAAAGCCTACCCGATTCATCTATGAGCCTCTTCTATGGGTGAAGAAGCTTTTGGAACAACAATATTTCTGTTTTCGGATTTGGTATCATTCAGGTACTGTTGATAAACATATGATATAATCCCCCAAATGGCTAGCACCATAGACATAACTTTAACACCATTCATTTTGTCATGAAAGAATACCACTGCTAACATTGGAACAACAGGCACTCCCAAAACGCTTATGGCATTAGAGAAGAGTGAAGAAACCTCAAGAATAAGCCCTATACAACCGACAGTGAAGAGTTGCCAAAGTATGGCTGTGAAAGTGAGGTTCAGAAAATAAGAAGCCTTTCCCATTTCATACCCCTCCATTTCATTCTTCAAACCACTCCACTCTCCACTAGCAAAAAGTCCCACTATAGTGGCAATGGTAGATACAAGGCTTGTGTATATGATCATATCCATCACCACTTTGAATGTTTCCCTTTTCATAACCTTATTGAACACAAGCTGTGTGAGGGAAAGCCAGAGTCCATACCCTGCAGATGCACCAACTGTGCATATGAATCCAATCAGAAACTTTTTCTTGGAGACTTGTGTGGAATCTGATGACTCATTTTGGAACACAAGGAGGGTGGAGGAAATGGTGAGAAGGACTAGGGAGTTGATTATGTAAGGTGTGAACTTGTGTGAGTTGAGGAAGTATGAGAAGAAAGCATTGAAAGCCAACTGAGATGAGCAAATGAGTGAAAAGGTTGACACAGGGAGGTACCATAGCCCAACTGAATATAAATAGCAATCTAATGCCACAAGTAGGCCAATGGAGACATAGATAAATGCTAGCATTGAAGCCGATGGCTGATTTGGATGAATGCTATTTGTGGTGACATTTTTGGATGCTGAAATGAAGTAAAAAGGAAGCAGTATAGGAAAGCCAGCAAGTTGAACAAGTGTTCCTATCCATTTGCTCTTTCCTCCTTTGTCATAGTACAATCTTCCAAGGAGTGTTGCCGCTGATCCACACATTAACATGAGTACTGAATGGATGGTTATTCTGAGCCAACGGTAATATCTTTTTTTCTTACTCATTGTTGACTCATTCATTTGACCACCAAAACTATTATCCTCCAAGGAATTTGTTTCTCCAGTTCCATTAGCTTCTACAAAAACAAACCAAATGACCATTATATTAACTTAGATAATGTCATTGATTGGACAAAGCTGTAATATACACTTCTGATTTGTTTCAAAGACAACTCACTTCCTATGAAGCAGAGTTAAGTTTTCATTTGATACGTGAACTGACTTCTATTATTCTTGTTTAAAGAGAAATATCATGGTGCTAGTGTTTGATGCTTGACCAGTTCAAATGTCACAAGAAATGTCTTGAGTTTCTCATAATGGTAAACTAGAGATAAAATGATAGAATTGGAAGTCATCCATCTCTATCCTGAAGGTAAGAGTCTCTTTATTAGTGGAAAACGTTTTTGTTTTTGTTTTCTGTCTTGAACAATTACAAAATCATCACTTTTTCCCTGTTCTGAAAGATTTGGGGTAAAAAAAAATAAGTTGGTTTACCATTTCTTGTATAAATATTTGAAAAGAAGAAAAACAAGGAAAAAATAAAAGTATAGTAACTATCTATAAAAACAGAAAATAAAAAAGACAAAATCAACAGATCCTAATTTTTTAGTATAATCAAAACTAAAAGCCTCACCAAACAATAGAAGTTGTTATTCCTTAATTTTGTTTCTATTGGGAATATTATATTGATACAGCTCAGAAACTAGAACTCCACATGAAATATTCCATCATCCATGCCACCTGAGCTAGCCTAGGTGGCTTCACCTCTTATATCAGTAATCATATAGAAGCAACTATACTGTGGTGGCATAGATTTTCACGTTCAATGATTTTGTTTCTTGCTAGCTGTATTTTGTCTGGAGTCTGCTGGCACCATTGTTATGTCTAATTCAACATGCTAGGATAGTAACCACCGAAACTAGGACCAGGTGTTTTTTTTTTCATTATATTCATAAAAATTACATAACAGTTGGTCATATGTATATTCTGCATACATTGAAATTGAAAGATTTCTTACTAGCCTATAACCACAGCTATAATAACAAACTTCTTTATGCAACTGTTGGAAAAGACATGTAGACATAAACTTTTTGCTCATAATTTTGTGTCTTCTAACAGATTTAAACCTTTTATTTCTAAACATGGAAGATGAAAAATTGACTAACCAATTTTGCTGAGTTGCACTTCTTGTGTTTCTCCCAAGTGGATGGTTAAACAAGTTTCAGGGGAGGGTTGCACTTCTTGAGTTTCTCCCATGTGGAAATAAGTTTTGAGAGGAGGGGACAGTGGAATAAGAAGGAATTGGAGATAGAGTTAAGAACTTAAGAGGTGAGTGGTTTAAAAATGCAATAGAATCATATGTTATACATGTATAACTGTCATCAAGAAAAGGATAAATTGTGACGACTTCTCCTCAAGTTTGCCTTAATTACACTTAATTAGTACCTTTATGTTTGCTGGCCTACACGAAATGACACTCCTTATTTGCAAGACATGTCTCTTATACCCTTTGTGTTAAAAATGAAAAAATGAACCAGGGCTGTGTTCAAATTGTGATGGCTTGGTCAACAGAGGAAGGTGGTGATAAGTTTATGTACTGTTGGGAGGCCATGTGGAGATCTAAGTGATGGAATAGATGGTTACCTGCTTGTGGTGATTTTTAGGGAGGTTGGTGTGGAGTTGGAAGAAGGATATGCCAGTCATTTTATATACTCAGAGTTGAAGATTATTTTAGCAATGCTAAATTTACTAGGTCGATCCTATGTGTTTAGTAGAACACTCTTACAATCAATGACTAAGAGATTTGATTAAATTATTATAGTTAGTTGGACTTTATTATAAAATTTTATAAATTTATCAATATCTAAATAAAATTTTGCTAGCAGATACTATAATTAGTTCGTAGTTATTAGTTTAGAAATATTATGTAAATTATATTTATATATAAAAAAAATAATAATATAAAAACATTTTATACATCTATACAAGAACAATAAGTAAATTTGTATTCGTATAAATTATTTGAATTCGTCTCAATTTTGATGAAGAATTCTTGATTTAATCGAATACAAATAATACTTGATTTATTGAATTGAGTATGATGATGAAAATAAATAAATATATATATATATATATATATATATATTATCTATACTTGTATTCATTTTAAATTTATAAAAATTTAAGTTATTTTTTTTAAAATTTATTTGACTTACATAATTTTTATTTTATTTTAAATAAAATTTAATTAATGTAATTTTGTAATTATAATTTATTACTAAAAAAATTATTTTATTTTAAAAAAAAAACTATTTGATTAAATTTTAAACAAATATGAGACAATTAGGAGTATATTTAATGAGATTGCAAATGAGAATGAAAAATGAGAATGAAAACAAGAATAAGATAGAAAAATCAGAAATGAGAATATCGAAATACAAAAACCAGAAATGAGAATATCGAAATCTGTAGCCGTTTGATCCGGTTCCCATCCCTACATCTAGAAATCTCTATTTATAATTTTTACTGGTATGCAGTTGTTTTACCCTTCATACTAAGATCGGTAACCACAATTTCTCTATTCCCCTTTTTTAAATACTTTTTCTTTCTTTTACTTAAACTTATTATAAATCACATATTTTTAATAGTTTTAATGCTACTTATCATTATTTAAAGGAAAAACTTATAAGAGTTTGTCATTTTCAATAAATAAAGATATAGTTATCTATAAATTATAAATACAAAAAATAATTACGAAATAAAGTATTCTCTTTTGTATATTAATATAAATGTTAATTACATGTAGTAGGTGACCATATAAGAGTGTAATAAATACACTGGGGCAGGTAGAATAATTCTCAAAATTAGGGTACAAGCCGCAAATCAAGACAAACCTTACGGAAAATCAATGTGTTTTTCTCTAAATATAATTGAACCAAATGATGGAAGTCACCATCTAACTAACGTGCTGTATAGGAACAGTGTGTTTGTGTTCAAGTTTTTCTTTCTTTTTTTCTTTTACTTTTATTACTTATTTTTTCCATAGCTAAAAGGAGAAAGAAAATATGAAATGTATTTACTAATCATTTAAACATTTACAACTTAATGTAAAAGTATGTAAAAATAATATTAATTTTTTATTACAATTTAATTCACACAGCAGGTTGAGAATTTTAGAAGTTTATACACGTTTCTTATTTTCTTCAATAGTTACTAGACACGGAAAAGGTATAACCAAGTTGTATTATATTATTATATGCACGTTTTTCTTGCCATTAATTTTCTCTCTTTTTTTTAAGCATCCTTTAAATTTTTAGTATAAAATTGACCCACGAATCGCGACACTAAGACCAAAACACTTTTTTATAGTATGATTAGTAAAAGTTTAATTAAGACCCTCGTGTTAAAAGCAATATTTTATCAGACCGGCCGGTCGGATTAGTTGAAGTGAGAATTGGTCATCTAGTCGATTCAAATTTTAAGTTGGATCAGTTATGCATTTGATTCGTTTCAAAAATAAAAAAGAAATAAGATGAAAATTAAAATTTAAGATAAGATATGAATTTATTGAAATTTATAAGTAAAATATATTTAAAATAAATAATTTTTAGATTAATTAATAAAAATTAAATCATGTGATTCAATTAGTAACTCACCGATTCAACCTTTGATCTACTAACTCAGTATCCTAACCAATTTGATGATGGGTCCGATTTTTAAAACTATGGTTAAAATTGAAAATGAATAAGTAAGTCATAAAACTTAGAATTGTATATCTCTCCTACAAACTAATTAAAAAGCATCAACAAAGTTACACAAACATATTAACAATTCAATGTTTTGTTTGAATTCCAAAATCTATTCTAAAGTCTGTACCTTAATGTTATCTAACAATGATCAAAACAGTAAAAACAAAAGTTTGTTTTTTTTTATAAATATATACAATGCATATATATTATTAATTGACAATCTCTGAATTGAAAATATCAAATTTAATGTATATTTTCAATAAATAACTTAATGCAGAATGGTACATTACTACTCCCTCCATTCTGTGTTAACACGAAATCTCTACTGAAACTTGTTTCAACCAAAAATTGTTTTAGACTATTCTGATAAAACTTCATCAAGATACATGGAATCGAGACATCATTCTTACGATTGCAAATTTTTTAAAATATGTCTAAATATTTTTAATTCAAAAAATATATAATTTAACTTTTAAGAATTTTGTAATGTTTTAAATTTTTTTAGATATGTATTATTTAGATAAAAATAAGAATATTATTTTTATCATTTAGTTATAAGATATTATTAATTTATGTTAATATTAGGATAAAGTTAGTATTTATATAATTGAATATATTTTTACTATATATTTAGAACCGATGAATAAAAGTATAATAATTCATTCTTAAACATATTTCTTTACAAAAAGAGAAAAAAGATCAAATTCTAATATATTTATTGAGTACCCGTAAAAATTATCCATAATTAGTATATATGGGAATGAAGTAGGATATATATAATAATACTCGTATTCGCATTCATCTCTATTAAATTTTGAAAATAAATCTTTAAATATGAACCTATTTTCATTGAGCAAGTATTTACCTTCTAAAAGTATATAATATATAAGTAAATTAATAATTTACTTCATAATTCTATCATTCATTAAGTCTTATTTGGATTTAAAAAAGTCACATTTCATAATCACACCAACAATCTTTTTAATTTATTATTATATAATATAATTTAAATATTATTATACGGGTGAAATTTTAATTTATTTAATTTTATTTGGATTTAAATTAACTATACAATATGCTCCTTAGGGTTTTTATATAGAAAAAAAAAAGTTTAAAAATATTTGTGCAGTGTATGAAAAATTTGCCGTGTAAACATGGTGTATTTTACTTTTATATGTATGAGTGCACTTATTCTAAGAGTAAATTTAATTTTACAATTTAGGGTTTAGATTTATTCTCATTAAACTTATTTTACTCAATAATTGATATTTTACATAACATTTTAATGATCTAACCGTGAAGTTAAAATTTCTCAATGCATAGATCAAATTTGTAAATTTTAAAAAAGATAAAAAAATTATTTGATACTGCGTTTTATTAATTCAAATGATGAATAATTACAAAAACACTTTAGACATTAATTTGAATTAATGAAATGAAACATCGAATGATTTTCAAAGTTTTTAAAAATATTGCAAACTTAATCTATATGGATCCCTTCTCGTAATATATATATATATATATATATATATATATATGTATGGTATGTTTCCTCCATTAATCTTGTGCATTCTAGTAACTTAGCTTCAGATGCTAGTAATAGTGATTCCACATAATGTAGTGACCACGATAGGTCGTTACAATAAGGCTATTTTGTGATAGCATTTTAGCTATTAGTATTGCCCATAATCCAGTCCAGCATGACAGGACAAAACACGAAGAGATTGACATACACTTGATCGAAGGAAAATTGAACAATGATCTTATAGTGCCACAACACATGTTCCTGTAGGGATCCAATTGGCATATGTGTTCACAAAGGGGCCCCTTACAACAAGATTAAGAAACTTATTGTAAGTTGGGAATGATTAATATTCGTCCAACAACTTAAAGAAGAGTGTTGTTAATACAACTGATATTTAGGATAGGAAAAAAAAATTCTTTCATCTTTGGTTCCCACAGATAAAAGATAGCAATTACATTTGTGTGTATATATGGGTACACATGCTGTAACCCTTGATAATTTAAAATAAAAACAGTTCCTTTCAATTGAGAGCAAAGGGAAAAGGATAGTTAAAGGGTTTCCCCCACCCCATTTTTTGAAGCCCTAAAAGATTAAAAAAGATGGCCGAGAACAAAAAGTAATGAACAAAGATTATCATTTTTGCATTATCATTATCAGCCCCAAACCTACAATCCATTATCATTTTTGCAAAGATTATCTGAAGACCACTGAAACTGAAACTAATCCCATCAACATATAAATCTTTAAATATGAACCTATTTTCATTGAGCAAGTATTTACCTTCTAAAAGTATATAATATATAAGTAAATTAATAATTTACTTCATAATTCTATCATTCATTAAGTCTTATTTGGATTTAAAAAAGTCACATTTCATAATCACACCAACAATCTTTTTAATTTATTATTATATAATATAATTTAAATATTATTATACGGGTGAAATTTTAATTTATTTAATTTTATTTGGATTTAAATTAACTATACAATATGCTCCTTAGGGTTTTTATATAGAAAAAAAAAAGTTTAAAAATATTTGTGCAGTGTATGAAAAATTTGCCGTGTAAACATGGTGTATTTTACTTTTATATGTATGAGTGCACTTATTCTAAGAGTAAATTTAATTTTACAATTTAGGGTTTAGATTTATTCTCATTAAACTTATTTTACTCAATAATTGATATTTTACATAACATTTTAATGATCTAACCGTGAAGTTAAAATT